ACACATCTTGTGATAAAACGCAGAATTATGAACACAATACAAAATGTTGAAAAATAGTATTTATTAGCACCCAATTTACATAATTATATGGTACAAATGACACTTACTTGCCGCTGTAACATTAAATAAAGCTGCTCTTAAAAACCATTGCTTATTTCTGGAAGTCCATGTGATTTTGCTCAGCACAGAATGCGGGTACAGTATACAGCTACCCCACGTCACTACTGTCATACCAATACAAATACCTGCATGGTTACCTCAATGTGGTCTCGTTTTAAACGGCACACTAACATAAGCAGATCTATATAATTTTAATGACAAAATATTTACTTGACTTATTCAGGCAAGTGAATATAGCTTCTTTAAATATAACCTATGCAAGAAGTTTCACAAAATAGGAATTGCAGTGAAAAAGAGAAAATTCAGGGCTGCAGTTGAGAAGCTCAAAAATATACTGGCATATTTCAAAATAATCTCCCTCTGAATTTTCTATCTTTGCCATTTTAGATATTTATCCAGGATTTTAAAATATTGAATTTTAGTAGGAAGTTTAATATTAAAGTGTTTGAAGAAGCATTTTCATTTAAAGCAAAATTTTATACTTTTTATAATAAATGCTTATCAAATCTTTGGAGAACGAATCACTTTTTCACTTTTCTCATGTCCCATGATTAAGAAGCCTTTCTGCAATCACGAAATACATGAGATTTATGGATCCTTACTCCCAAGAAAACTATTTCCTTCACAAGTTAGAAAACAGAATTTCTCACTTAAATTAACATTCACTTTTGTACAACAGTAGCATTTAAACAAGGTAATTTGGTGGTACCGAAATTCTGACACAGCCTTGTACTGAGCCATACACAAACTGACAAGCAGACTATTACTCAACAAGTATGTATTTCCCATTTGGACCCACCACTTTGCAAGACGCTTGAAGCCCAACATTTTTTCAAAGTAGTCATTCAAAACTGGCGTGCAAAATCATAACCTCAGCATAATTCTGAAGGGGAGTCTTAATTTCCTTTAGCTGTTTATATATCAGTCACAGTAGCCTTTTCATATCAACTATCTGTCATGGAAGTGACCCAAAACAGAAGAGGAGAAACTGTAATCGCTAACATTTAAGTGGTTATCACCTGTGGTATCTTCGCCAAAAGAGAACTGTCAGGTAACTCTAAGTTCAATAGTTATTCTTGTAGAGAGAAAAAAAAGTATATTAATATAAACAACAACAAAAAAATCCAAACTACGGTCCATAAGGCAAAGAAATTTGTCTGGATTTTTTTTTTTTAACCTGACAGTTTTCTTTTAAAAGAAACCAGTTGAAGATGCTTATACGAAATACAATGCAGGTAGTTGATATGCTGACAAACGTCAACAGAAAATCTTACAGCAACAATAGTCTTCTCATCACGGATTTTCTTCTATGACTTTTTTCAGCTGCGTGATTCAAGGAAAACATAGCACAAGACCACTTTTCAGTCTGCTTGGGCTATAAAGGTACAAGAAATTATTAGCTAACATGCTCGGTTTGCATTTCCAGAAAAAGTGCTAACACCTATGAGACAGTTTTCAAAACCTATGCATGTTTGTAAATGTCTGGCTGCAAGGAAACAATTCTAGGAGCCATACGTCTGAAAACAAGCTACATTCAAAAAGCACTACCTTGATGACAGGAAGAATAAAAAAATAAATTCTTAATGGAAAAATATTAGCTTGAAGTCCATCGTTTATCCCTTATACAATGTTTTTGGCTGCTTTTAGTAAGTAATCAAAAAAAAAAAAGAAAATATTTGGCTTGGCAACAAGTTATTCGTTCCCTTTCAGAATAGTACAAATCCAGCTGCATAAATCTTTCCTCAACGTCTCAGTCTAATACTCTGGTGAGAGGACCAAGGATTCCTTGAAATGGCAAGGAAGTACTTTTGGGAGCCTGCAATGCAAACTGAGGGAATGCAAGTAGACTGGGCTTGAGGACTGCGTCAATACAAGGCTTTGAGCAGCTTAAAACACACACGTGCAGGCACGGTTTAAATGTGGGTGTGATCTCCCAGGATCACAACATGGCTTGGCAGCATGAGCAGGGCGAAACTAGTTTAACACACAATACCACAACCCAGACTCAGTCAGGAAGAAAGTTGGGCTAAAAAGCATATATTATTATTAAATGCCTTTTTAGTTCAGCCATAGCGTGGATTTTGTTATCCAGCAACAAATCTCTCCTGACAATGAACCAGTTGAGACCCACAACTTCTACTATTCAACTGGATTTACACCTTCTGTAGTGGAATTCAGATTCTCCAAAACATCTTAAACGATACAGCACTTCGTAAATTTTCACGACTGACTATAGAGCAGCAAAATTAAGTCAGCAGGTGGGGTAAGAGATAATTCAGTAGGATTAAATTAACTGGGAATAAGGAGGTACAAATCAGCCTTTTGGTGGTGGGAGGGGCAGGGCTGAAGCTGACACTGCCCCCCCCCCCCTTCAAAAAACACTCTAAGAGAAAAATCAATAGTTCTTTATGAAATTTACCCTGCAATGAGAGTCCACTGCAGATGGGATTTTAAGATTCTAAGAAAATATAACCTAAAGGAGGATTTAAGTGGGAAGGTAAAAATCAGATATCAAAAGGATAGATAACCTGCACAACAGGTATGTTCATTAGCACAGGCAGAGACCATTTTAAAGGTCTTACTTCCCACCATCCTCCCTCCTGGGATTAGTCCCACCAGCTGAACAAGAGCACTTGTCTGAGCAAGGACTATTTACACAAACGTCATCCTAGTCCCCCCCACACACACACTTCCCAGGTGTTTGTTCATTTGCTTTGCTGTATGTAATACTATCTTTTACAATATGGGTTATTTCTTGTAAAACACCCCCTGTGTAACTGGATGGGTTAACACTGTGGTTTCCATCAGTTTCTCTGCCGCTGAGCAGAAACACTGTGGGGGTTCTGACTAGCAGTTTACAGGCCATTCGTTTCAGTAATGGTGTTCGTCTCTAAGCTTAAAGACGCTGATGAAAGAGTCAAGACTGTTCACCTATTGTAACCCTCTTCAGCTGAATGCATTATCAGATTTAGACAAAATATTCTCAATGTCTTCACGTCCCTATGGAAAAAGAGAGCTTCCTGAAACATCTGAGTAGTTTTTTCAGGGAAGTCTTTGCCTTCTCTCTGTCACTGAATACTAACAGCTACGCTCAGCATCCCTACAATGCTCACCAACAGCAGATGCCCAAGAAAACTCAAACTACTGTGTCAAAGATTGCAACATCTTATACAAACCAATTTACCATATGTAAATGGTTTACTATCATATTCTGATTTCTTCATTCTTAACAGCGTAGTACAGAACAATTTCCACTAAACAGCCACAAACTTCAGAGTGTTTTTAAATACTATATTACAAGCAGCATCATGTTTTCACAGTTATTTCCATGAATCTTATCAGCTCACCCATCAGAAAGCTGAAAGACATATCTGCTAAGTGAGTCACAATTACCTGGAACCACCGGTCCCATTCACATCTCATTTGTATGAGAAAGTACTGAAGGAGTTGGTTTTTTTTTTTTACAGAATGGGATATTTAATGTGAAGTGAGTCATACAGATGACACTGTATGTAATATACCTTAAATATGTAGATTATGTCTGAAGAAAAAAAAAAGGAAAGAAAAATGAGAAACAAGCCTAAAATTCTATTCTGCTTCCCAAATTTTGTGGCTTTGGTTCAATACTAACGGATATCATGAGACAAAGTCTTAGTCCTGCAATTTTGTTTTTAAATAATTGTTTACCTGGAAGCAAAAGAGTAGTCCCACTACAGTGTCTGAGGAACTTCTCTTCACATAACTGGGTCCCCAACATGAAGACTATGTTAACAGAAGAGTAAGTTCTGTTCTTGGAATTTAAATAATAAGCTATTACAAATCTCCTGCCATCTCCTCATCTAAAGTGACATAGTTTTGAAATTTGAGCAATCTCCACCTTTTACTTTGACAGAAGAGTTCATAATTTGGAATCTGGATATATACTAGATTTTATCCTTCATATAACCTGCAGCCAATGGACAAATGAATAAATCTGAAGAATCATTATGGGAAAGCCTCGCTAAACTTGCTACTCTAACCTTTTAATGTTTTCCTTTGTGATGCCATCAGGCTAAACTCCGCACTGCGCCCCAGCCCAATTCTCCCAAGATGACACCAGTCACACCGAAGACACGTTGGTTCTGGCCATTTAACCTACCATCTGTCCCCTACAGAGTTCAGCAAATGGTCTCCCTGCTTCCCTTGCTGTTCAGCACACAATCCAAATGACCACTACCTACAGATCTTCAAAGTAAAAATACAAATAATCGCATCTGAAGATACTCCCATGCTGCAGAAATTACTCGTGTTAGACTGCAAGCCTGATGCTTCAGCAAAGAAGGCTCCAGGGAGAACACTGCTATAGCCTCTTGCTGTACAGGCACAGGGACAACCACAATGGCTGCATTTTCTTCCTTACCTCAACCCACGTTACTAGGTTTTACTAGGTTTACTAGGTGTTTCACACAGGTGTCAAGTAGGCTCCCTAGGACAGTCTGCAAAGACACTGCCAAACCACAGCCTGCAAATGCTTCCAAATACACGTCCCGAGAGGCATTAAAAAACCCCAAAACTTGCTTATCTGATGGTTATGCCCGCTTTTTAGTTTTTTGTTTCCTTTGGGATGGACTAACACTTCTGCCAATCAAACACTGCTCAAATGACACACCAGTTTATGGAAATTGCTGCTCCCCAGAATTACATTGTTGAAACATGGGGAAAGGGGACATATCTGTGCTCAAACAGGTGTACTGAAAAAGGTGGTGTAAGTCCTTTATCTCTTACACATTCATTCAAAAGGACAAGTTTCTGGTTATTTTAAATTCACAACTGCAAAATGGTGTTGTATGACCTAACCACAAAACTGTATGGTGAACATCACACACTTACCCAAACACATTACATACGGGACTGCTTTAATGTAACATTATTTGAAAACATACGGCCTAAAAAATAACCTACAGTATGTTGCATATAGTTGTACAGACTTCTTGCTAAAGAACTTATTTTATCAAAATAAAGATCCCAAAATATTCATCGTGTGATTTTCTTACAAGTAATAAAATCTTTTACTTGGCATGTCAAAAGTTTTCTCTGCGAGGCACAAAAATAAATGCAGACATTAGGATTTTGTATGAGTGAAGAAAATGTTTTCCACAACATAATTATATCTAGAGCTTCTTCCAGGCTACTCGAAATCATTTTGTGCAAGCGTTTTGGTAACTGAATCAAATATGTGAAAGCAAACAGCACAGTGAAGCAAATTAGAAATAAAAATGAGAGTATTTAAAACTAGTGGACCAATTTTCAACATACGGAAGGACTGAAAATTCTCCCATTAAATTAGTTAGTAAACTCAAAATCAGTAGCACAGGCTAACATACACAAAAGATTATATGAGTTAACCATTAAAAAATGTACCATGCAAATTAGATATGGGGAAAATAGTAATGGTAAAATGCCATGTACTGATGTTGCACAAAAATGCTTTTTTTGCAAGAATAAGCCTTAGGTCCGGTTTTGTTTACATTTTCAATAGATGTATGTAACACATTAATGAAAGTTACCAATTACATTGAACCAGGTAGAACTGCACATAAAAGGGAAAAAATAAAAATAATTTAGTGCCCACAGAGATCAGAAGTTCAAAGCTTACAAAACCCAGGATAATAATGAAACAGGAATTAAGTATCTAACTGCAAAATAATCATAACATACTGAAAGCGAAGAAGAAACTTCAGAAGCAGCAACGCTCAAAGTTATTTAAAACAGTTGTCAGAAATAAAGAAATACGATTTGGGTTTCTGAGACACTAACCAGAAGACCAGAAGTTCGGTCTTCCTACACAAAAGCATGATGTTACAGAGGAAAATACCAAACAAACAAAACCCACACTTAACAGGTGACCTTCAGACTAAGTCCAACAAATCATGCATGTGGAATGGTGTTGTGGGCACCAAGATATGGAGAACTGAGCTAAAAAGCTGAAAACAAGAAAAAGTTGTGTAAAAAGAGCAGACTAAAAAACAGCTTGAAGAAAGTGTAAAGGAATGGAAATATACAGCTAGAACCAGTGCGCGCATGCAGGTTCCAAGTTACAAAGACGAGGAATATGTAAAATGGCACAAAACATGGCTTGGAATACTGGCATGAAGTTACAAAAAAGAACTGCTAACCATCATGTAAATCCTCCTGTCAGTGAGACGCAATCATTGAAATAATCTTCTAAAGGAAGCCTAATTGTTTAGAACATATATGAAACCTCACTGGCCAAGACAATATTAAAACGCACAATTCTACAACCCTGCTTTAGCAAGCAGATGGACTAGATAACCGAAATAATTTTTCATCCCTAACTCCTATGATGATGTTCAGAAGATCTGACAGGCTCATGCACAATACCCTGCAGTCCTACAAGTATGTGAGCAAGTACAGTAAAAGACATTGACATCAATTATGAAGACCAGCACAAAAATATATATACTCCACAACCTCTTTGTAAGGCTACATTTGTTTTGTTTTTTAAAGGCACCTCATCCTCTAGCTATTGCCAGCTTTAAAAAAAAAAGAAAAAAAAAATCACTTTTCAGTTAGAGCAAGAGCTCAATAGTGAGAAGGAAACATCTTTCAATTCACATTTGAACAGCCACTTCTTACATTCCAATTGTAATCAGAATGACAGTCTTTAAAAACAAGCATGCCAGCCTATTAGTTCTATGTACAGCAATTTAAACAACTGTGACTACATATTGTATTGTGTAAGCAAAAGCACAACATTCATTTCATACTCACACCATTATCCTTTGTATACACAAACTCAAGAGAACTCTTAATACTAAAACATTAAAATGCACCCATGGAGTCTTCCCTTACTAGACACATTTAATACATGTTTACAATATATATACACATATATAATATACATAACTTCTAGAATTTTTCAAATAAATCTTTGTCATTTCCTCTTCAAAAAGAAATAAAATAATGACACTGAAAGACCATGAGTCAAGTACACAGAACTCACAAAGTTGAATGCTCAGTTTTGCAGCCAAGTTTCCCCCTTTCCATCATAACCAAAACACTTTATAAAAACTAAATAATCTGAATTACTATTGTAGTCATCTGTTTCACGGTAAAAGTTCTAATCTTATCTATGGAAATATATTGCATATCAATATCATGAAGTGACATATCTGAATATTCTGAGCAATAAAAGGTATTCCAGGATATTTTAGCTGTAAATATAATGTGTTGCAGGCTCAAACAGCACAGGTCAGCCTTTTATTCTAAATAATATAGTTGATGTAAAGTCTGAGATCAGCTTCAAATGTGGTCCCATCCCCAAATGCCACTCTAAAACCAACACAGTCAAACCCTATGTTGATATCGTTCCACGATTCCTTTTTAAAAAGTGTCAGTTTAAAGGTAAAGATTTATTTATCAGTTTCCAGTCTTAACCTCAGGCTGGTATGTGGAAGAGTTGCGCTGGGTTCTTTCCTACTTGCATGAGCACCAGAAATCATCTCCAGCAGAAATTCTGCCTTCCATTCCCATTAGAGGAAAACACCAACTTCGGGCTTATGAGCAGTAATAACTCTGATGATGACATATAATAGAAAAGAATCCACTCACCTTCCTTTAAGAAGGGGTAAAAAGACTAAAAGATAGGATTAAGAGTTACTTGTCATTCAAATCAACAGAGAAGTTCTGAATAGATAAACAAAGCACATCTGTTGAGTAATTACAAGAAGCACTCGTTCTTCGGGTAACCTAAGCAATGGCACGATACGCCCAGTGAAGCGGATAAGTTTAAAAGTTCCACAAATGGTGAAGTTGGGAAATACCTCTAGAAGTAGCAGAATCTCTGAAACTGATGGAACTTTGTATAGTTCCCACCTATTGCACTAGTAGGACTCATACAAAGCATCAGGTATAGGTTTAATCTTCAAAATAAGTATTTCACTGTTATCCTTAATGCCCAGAATGATACCCTTTTTAGCAGGAACAGAAAGAGGAGATGAATGTTTGATAGTTAAATTGTAGGACAGCTTCTTTGGAAAGCTTTGTGATAATTTCTTGTGCCAGATCTCCAAGAATAAACAGCATTATAGATCTGAATAAGTTAATCTGTTACTACAGTATATACAGACTGCTTCAGCCTGTTGTTAATTGGGACTAGACTAAAGGCTCAGCTTCTAGCCACACGCTAATACAGTATTTAAAAAATTATATAAATCTTTTTTGCAAACTAAATATTTACTGTATAACACAGAAGATGTAACGAAAAATTTTACTGCGTTTTAATTTATGTTAGTAATTTGCTTTCCTTTAACTGCATTTATCTTAGGCTAGCAGCCAGGTGGCTGAGATTAACTATCTGCTACTGCTCTCTGAACAAGCTCTACTTTATTAATACCAAAGGGATGACTAAGTGCCTCTCACATGACACAGTAATGAGCATGCGAACTGACACTTTCTTCCAGGTGATTTATAAGTACATTACAATTCCTCAAAGAGAAGCATCCTAGGAAGTTTCCCTCTTTTCCTACTCCCTGATGCAATTAGACCCCTTCTTTCCAGTACTCCATTTTACTAATAGAGACTACATAGACCTAGTTTCACCCAAGGCCTGCCTGGACGAAAATTCACACCCTCTGAAATAAAAGCATTTCTTTTGTTTTTTAGCTATTTGAAACTGAGAGTTTCCAAGCTCTCAGCACCAGCTGAGCTCACAGAAACCAGAACAAACGTCAATTTAGAAAACAGCACCCTGCAAAACTAAACACTTACAAACATTCTCTGAATTACAGGGCAGGATAAGACGACTCATGCCCTCCTCTTCTCTTTTGTGCAGCTGGTTGAATATATACAGAGCTAGAGTTGAAAGGGAAGCACTCTGTCATACAAACACTTTAGCCAGGGCATCTGCTCCTGCACTGGCAATATAACATTTGGAGGGGTGGAATGCCACATCATGAATGGACTCATCAAATTTTTTGCGATGAGCAGTAAATTCCTGGATGCAGGTCTTGCTTTCAAGATTCCACAAGCGAATCGAACAGTCATGACCTAAAGAAAGGGGAAACAGTTTTCTTTATAATTCTCATGTTTGCCACCATTATGAGAAAAAGAAAACGAAATCTGAATGTACTTACTGCCAGACATCAAATACAAGCCATTAGGATCAACAGCTAAACTTGTAACTGCATCTAAGTGAGCTACCATGGAGTGAATCAGTTTTCCTTTGAAAGAAAAGATTTATTTAGGTTATTTTCTGCAATTCACTTTGTTTTCTATATTCACTGCTTAAACCCTACCACAGCTTATACTATAAATACAAGATCTCGTCCCATGACTGAATCATTAAAATTACGCAAGAAGTCATTCTTTTACCGTTTACAGTCTCAGGAGAGCCACAGTACCAATATCACCAACTTTGTTAGACCTTTGTTTTATGTGTGCAAAACCACCGTGAAGCTGCAATCACCATGCATTTTAAATATCTGCCCCTTAAGTGAATTAAGCAAGTTCAGGAATAAGATCTTGACTGGGAAGGAGGACAGGGGCTGAGTATACTAAAAAGCAATTAATATAAATTACATAAGAATATGGGATACATTTAGTCAACTCAGAGAATTAATGTTCTATTTCAGCTTATTATAATTACAATAATGATTTCATGTTTAAAAAAAATCATGAGTCAAATGTGGGTTTTTTTCTTGCAGAAGAGAATAAAACAAAAAAAAAATTAGCAGCTGTTTCCTCTACTGTTTATTACAGAACTACATCATCAAACAAATCAGCTATTTTCAGCTTTTTCCTCAGCTTCCATTGGGTCCTTTCACCTCTTCTTATTTAACATACATCTGGGGAATAACAAACTTAAAATTAACGAGAATATTGAGAGATCTCAATTTAACTTTTAAAACAGTGTGACCTGGAAGCAGACAAGTCACAAACTGAAGATTATCAAGATTCACAGTCAGAATACCAGATTAATACTACCATTCCTATCAAAAAGTCCTTTAAAACCAAAGAGATTTATAATTACACATCTCAGTGCCACTCTCACTACAAATTAGAAAAAGTATTATAAGCTGTCCAGCTGTTTCTGCAGAAGCAAGAGATTTGGAGAAATACAGTGGATCAAATTGAGAACGATGCCTACAAGGGAACTTCTACCTCCAAGCCATCAGGCAGAGGTCTTGGAGGCACTAAAGGAGTGCCAGAGCTTCCTGCCCTCAGATCAAAATAATGCGACAACACAATAGAAGAAACATGAACATACGCACGTGAACATTTTTTAAAAAGCTTCCTTTGATGTTAAATATTTATAACCCCCATACATAAGGCATTTTAAAAGAACGGACAGAGAATGATGCAGAGGTTCCTTATCACTGTGCCATTAAAGTTTTAACCGGGCTGGCAATCTTTGGGCTCTACTGGTGAGAGATTTCTGTTTCAGAGGATATACAATTCTTAACATCCCTCAGCATTTATGTGAATGGTATTAATCATAATGAAATTCTGTTTATGTTTTATGTTATACAACCACTATGACTAGGACCTGCTGAAAAGATGCATACCTGTATTGTTGTCGTAGAATTTGATGTGTCTGTCTTCATGAGCAGTGATACTAATTGGAAGAGTTGGATGGCTGATGACTCTGTTTATCTGACAGGAGGAACTGACTGCTGAGAAAAAACCCACACATATCAATACATGTAAATTGCTAAGTTCTTTGAAAGATTGCTACTAAGAAATAGACATGTAATCAATCTCATCTGCAAAATAATTCTTACCTTTCTATAATGGAAACTCTCAACTAGCACCTTATGTAATGTGGTTTACTCTAAAATACTTTCCAAATTACACACACACAGAGGCATACATAAACTACATGTATGTAAATACTACATGTAAGTACAAACAAATAAAGTCCAACTTTTGGCCACAGTTTTAGATGGGCACATCAGGCAAGAATGTGAAGCCAAAAACTGAGTGAAAATATCTTTTTTGCACTTCCCCACCTCCACATTCCTCCTCTGGTCAAGCCAAACTTTCTTCATAACATACAGACAGTACAGGAAAATTAACATTGCAGGCAGTATGTTTCCAAGCAAACAGGATCCTGTGCCCTCAACCTTACAGAGCAAAACCCACCTACTATTATCTGATATACATAGATTAAAATTCTTATTGAAGAAAAGGATGCTAGACTATTCATAGGAGACCTATTTTCCTAGCCCTCAAGAATCTTGAAATATCGTATTTATACACACACACAAAAATGTGTATAGGATTTTTTTTGATTAGAAATCTAAGCATTGCTTTGATGCACAGACTAGTGCAAGAATGGTCTTAAGAGGCATAGATTACCACAAAAACACAAATAGCCACTCCACAGAACATCAAAATACAGTTATCTTCTTTCATGTGGGAGTTGACTGTTTTCAGTTAAACTGCTGCCAAAGAACACACACATCATCTAATCAAAATTATTACTAAAATAAACAAAATAGAATACTACTATAGGATCACTTGCTACCAAGGTAGTAAAGACTTCAATTTACATCTTTCTATAAAAATCTGAACCTTCAAGTAGTGTCAGCATCCACAGCAAACTTAAAAATTATGAAAGTGTAAATTAAGGAAAAAACGCATCCATACTAATAAACCCCCCCTAAAAGTACTAAAAGCACATGAGACTGCATCCCTGCCAGCTATCCTCACAGTTTTAAAACGCCAAGCAGAGTGAGGCTTATACTGAACAGCGGAGTCCCTAAGTGGTGGTAGGGCATTTCAGGTGACTCATTTTCTTCTTGCCTAGTTCTTGTAGAAATAATTGTGTTGTTTTTTGGTTTTTTTTTTAAATATAGGTAAGCTTTAAGTACTGCTACATAACCAAAGATACTAAACAGGGACTGCTGGTTGCCATACCGCAGTCTCATTTTCTTAAAGGAATATTACTGAATTACAGTAAGGAGGAGGAGGTGAAAAAAATAGAAGGAAAAAAAAAAAAGAAGAAAGGTAACATCCACTGAATCAGGTAACTGATTTAGGACTATTTTTTCAGATAGAAACAAAGATGTGGGTTAAAAAAAGAAATCCTGCACAGCAAAGAATAATATAAAGAGAGATGGCACTTTCCATTCCCTCTTATAAAATTACAGTCATTCAACTATTTTAAAACAGCAAAGCCAACAAGAAGGGCTTATTCCTTTTTAAAAATATAATTAAACAGTAGAATTCACTGACGTAAAACTTTTTGGGGAAAAAATTATCAAATTTTTAAAAAAGACTGAACGTTTATATTGTTATCAGGTTACCATTTTGGTCTGAACATGAAACCTCATGCTTCAGCTCATTCTGGTCTCTTTCCTAACGCTGGGGTAAAATAATTTACTGATAGCAGGCTCCTTACAGTTTCCTCTAAAACTTCTGATATTGGCCACTGCCATGACCCAAGGCATTATATAGGACCTTGTGAATACTCTGCCACTGGAGCTTTGCTTTTCTCCTACAGTGAAAACTTCAACTAAAGCCCAACTGCAAATGAGCCAAAAGTGCATATAAAACTTAGAAAAGGGACACCTCTGAGGAAAAATGAAAAAAGAATACACTACACAAACTCCCAAATTTTTAATAAATTCAACTTTAGATTTTCCTGATATTACCATTATCTTGCAATTTTGGATGGAAGAAAGAATGGAAATCTTGAAGCTGCAAAGATCACTGGACTCTATTAAAGAAACCTGTGCTTCTCCTTGCGCTACTGTTCCTTGAAGAGGAATTCAGATAGTGTGGGCTTGTTTCTTCTACCTTCTTTCAAAAGTATGTGCACTCTTCTGCTACTGAAATACCCACGAGGTCTGTTGTAGTAGTGATAATTCACTGTTACATCTCAAAACACAGCTTGTAACATAATTCATGTTATAATTTATCATGACACTGCTTAATTGTTTGGAAACACTGAAAAGACTATCAACAGTATTGATCTTAAACGAGCAATTTTTTTTGTTTTGTTTTTTGATACATACAGGTATCTGCACTGGACTCCAGGGTAAGAATTCGTTGCCGGGTCTCCATGTTAAAAATGCTAGTGTGTCCACTGCTAAATGATGCTACCATGAGGCTTGGGTCACTGCTCACAAGATCTACTGATGAAGGGATTCCCATTTCTAGAAAACAATGTAAAGAACATTTTCGTAAGGTTTAGTTGATGTAAAGAAAACCAAAAAACCAACTAAAAATCCCAAACAGTAAGTACTTTAGTATCAAAAGGGTCATGATTATGAAAAGAAATGTTACATTTTAAAATCTACATTATACCACTCCAAATAGATTGCCCTGCATGATCACTATTTTAATCCTATTTATCTGATATGCCTATCAACAACGTTCTTTACTAAGATGCTGTATCCAGAACAGCAGCTAGACAGAGATTTACCTGGAATTAAGAAACTAAGAACGCCCTGCCCCCTTTTCCTTCCTTTAACTGTAAGAGCAATTCTCAACCAAACCTCCATTGCATCAAGTAAAAGGACATGCAATTGAAGTTGTAAAATCATTTACATGACAGATGATTAACGTTATTATTAACCTGGGCAAATTCAGAGCTTAAAAAACCCCCAGAGCTTTCCAGGTGCAAATTTTATATGCTGACAGCATGGAAAGTTACATAAATACATTATAAATTCATATTACAAAGCGTCTTCCATCCTGCCTATTACAGTATACATCCGATCTCCTTACACTGTAGCTATCTGAACACTGCAGGACAGAAGGCCAAATCAGCAGAGCTTGGGTACAGAAAATAGCCCTTAGAATTTTTCTCCTTGAATGCCCTGTTCACCACCCGCTATGTGAAAGAACAACACCGGTTGCAACAGATGCTAGGAGGAGGAGGAGGAGGTAGAGAGTGAGACACTGAATGTTAAGCGACCTAATGTCCATGGATCCAAATAATGCAGAAATATCATCACCTCTCTCTAAACTTAAGATTCACGGGAGAAACATCTTTCTTGGACACACCACCTCAGGAATGCTGGTACTTATCTACAGATACTCAAAAAAAGCCAAAACGGATTGTGAGAAGAAAACATGTATTGTTTCTGAAGTGACCCTTTCTACCACTGCCATGCCTGCTTATCTGCAGCTTCCTGGTAAGCCTACAATAGTTAACCTAAAGGACTTAAATGATGACTGCTAGATATTTTAGAGAGTTTGTTCAAGGTTCTCAATAAGTCATAAGAAAACTCAGTTTCAAAGGAGGATCTTTGAATTTCACAACCGAGTTTCAGTTTGAAACATAAAACCCCAAAGATTAGGTCTGTGAGGCAAGACTACTCCCTCTTTCCCCTTAATTTAATAATTAAAAACAAAACAACAAAAAAACCCAACCCAAACTAAAAAAACACTACCAGGAAGTTTTCAAAGCAGACAGGTAGGCAAGTTGGCAGCAAACCAGTTACATTTTTCACAGAACCCTGCAGACCTTTGGAAACACAGTTCTGCCAGAACTAAAATACATGAAACATTTCTATTTTGCTCAGCCTATTTTAACTAACAAGTAATGGCAGATCTGACCAGCTTCACACCATAATTCGATAAGTCTGTTCAGTTATGCCAGAGTTTATTTTGCCTCAAAGTTGTTCTGAAGAGCCAAGGAACTGTCGCGGTTCATGGGTTGCTTTTAGGACAATCAGCTCTAAGAGAGTTTGGCAATGTCAACGGGCTCATTCTAGAGCACTTACTCAAACAGCAACTTCAAGAAATTAGGCTCTAAGCAATAGGACTTTGATTTGTGCATGGCATTTCAGTAACCAAATCCAAAGGACTAAATTTTTTCAACTAGCAGTGTTTAGGATGACTAGGTTATTGCTATTTAGTTAATGTGCCAACTCAGAAATTCAACTGAAATCTCTGTGTTAGAGACATAAGGAACATAATCTGAGAAGGTATGACGACACTGGCCTGAGCCGAAGCACTGGCTACTCGAAACCTCTGTTGGGGGAAGAAACGACAAACAAAAAGCAAGGGCCTAATGGAAACTCAGCTTGAATCTGAACTATGGAGTTGATACATTATACTCCACAGTTCTAGTAACATCAGCAGGTCATCTGCAGCAGTTGGCTTTTAGATGTATGTGACTGTCCCACTGCATGTAGGTATCTATTCAGCTGGTGTCAAAGGAGAAGGGACCCAAAATTTACTCTTCCCAAAAACATTCATCAAGATAAAATCCAGCAAAACAAACAAGAAGGATTTCTATTCAGTAGCCAAAATTATGGCCATCTGAACAGCGATGCTCATGAACCTTAAGGTAGGGCAATTTTCTGTACCTTGATTATCATTAAATATATTGAGAGCTGGAGCAATTTCCATAGCTTTCCATAGACGTATAGTGCCGTCTGCTGAACAGGACAGCAAACGCTGGTGTGCTCCACTGTAAACCAGACCCCACACCGCATCTGTATGGCCTACAAAAGCACCTCTTAGAACAGAAGGATCTGTGAACAAAACACAACAAACCACATTTCAAAAAATTTGAATTAAGTCAATAGTTGTATCTTGGTCTGTGTTTATGGACCAACCTTAAGAAGCAAGTCCTTAAAAAAACCAAACAATCAGGTCATATCAATATAGAAGTCTCAATTATTCTTGCATGAAGATACTTGAATTTCATCAGCATACGTGGCATTCAGTTACCCAGTTTACAACTAATGGAACAAAACAAAGTTTCAGCAGAACGGACAGTATCAAAGTCAGCAAAACATGCTTTGATTTTAAAATTCACGCTCAAACAGCCATTAATGGCACATCAGTCCCTTTTTTCCAAAAGCCAGCTTTGAGGCCAACTGCATCTGAAGCTACAAGAAGTGAAAAATGTTTTAAAACACATACACAAGGCTGACATCCATTCAGATCTGGTAAATCTTACCAAACTGGGCCTTTTTAGCTGTTTGGAGACAATATTAACAGCTTTGGTCTGAGACTATACAAAGAGATTCGTTGAAGAACTTTAAAATACACATTTGCTGTACTTGCCAAGTATCAGGTTTAGTCCTGCACTTTTTCAACCTAGCTGTTTCTCAAAATTGTGATGAGATCAAGGCCTTTTCTAAGAAAATGACAAATGTTATCTTCTCATCAACCAGCATCAGTATTAAAACAAAAATTTACTTAAAGTAATTGAAGCCAACATTCAATTTTCTCTTTTAAATTTTCAAAGAAGCATTACCTACCAATTATACTATTTTAGCCACATAACATTAATGTCACTAAATGTATCATTTCACTGGTGTGTGTGACAGCAACGTACCGTAAGAGTCATAGGGGTCAATGTTCGGGTTGGTTGTATTCCAGCCATGGATGAGGCCATCCGTTCCCCCACTGTAACACTGTTCACCATTACTGCTCATCACCACACAGAGCACTGGTCCACTGGAAGACAAACCCCCAGAGAAACGTTGACTATTAACATTTCCGTTATGCGAAAAACAGTGTCAATGGAATCTTCAAATTTCCCTGTTAGATACAATTCACTTCCCGCACAGACCGCAACAAAAATTCTGCATAGTCAGATCATATGCTACAACATTTCTCACAAAAACCCCTCCGCAATATTTGGTAATGTAACTACAACCAGGACAATTTAATCATTATGCACATGAAATATGAAAAGTGTCACACTTTTAAACTATTGGCTTTGTTATTTTGCATAAACAGCTTTTTTCCCTTTTTTAAAGGTCTAAGGCTCTTTCATGAAACTGATTCAGTAGGTTTTAATTCACTGCGAACAGCTTCACTCTACAGATGCACTTATCTGACAAAAAGGCAAGAGCTGCAATGATGAACAAAACACCTAATTGAATTTGAACTGTATAATTTGTAGATTTTTCTTTTTAAAACTGTGGTGTACCTAGCTCCAGACATAAATAATTATGCAGAAAGGAGATGAACATATGCAGATATTTTAAAGAACATGGGAACTAAAAGCATCACATGAAATCACTAGTTGACAAGGGGGAAATTACTTTTTAAAAAAATTCTGTGAGTGCTTAAAAATCATATATTTCTCAAAATATGACTATGTTTCTCAGGAAATACTCACTTATGTGCTCTGAAGGTATATATTGGCTCTACATCAAGAGAAGCACTCCTAAATGAAGTACAAGAAAATGTTAACATGTATATGATCTTACACAATGCTTTACAAAAATGTGCCAGAATTGCTAAATTTTTTAAATCACTGCTACATCTGTTGAAGTGTTTCTCCCACAACTTCCTCTCCCAACATGATTTTTCATATGTCTAGGAATTCTTTGCATTCTTTCAAAGTATGATAGGATTTGTTTGGTTGGTTTGGTTTTGTTTTTTTGTTTAAAGACCTTCAAGGCAGAGAGTCCACAAACTCTCACACACCAGTCAAATCAGTAGGAAGGTACATCAATGGTGGGGAGTGAGTGGAGGGCCATCAGTATCACACGGAATATACAATTAAGTGTTCCCAATCCCTACCAGAGGAAAGGAGGTTATGACACCTTGGTTTTATACCAATGCTGTAGCACAGTTACAAACCACTTCAAAAACTGCTGCTGTGGACTTTACCAAGTCAGGTGCTTGTTACAGACTGCAGGAAGACCACATGCTTTGCCCAGTCCTCCTAAAAGGTATGATGTCCTCCCTTAATATATTAGCCCTGCTAAGAATTGGCTCTCATTTCTGCAAATCCCCAGCAACACGCAAGAGACAGTGTACAAAGGAACCTAGCAACATCTCTGTCAAAGTTTAAAGCTGTAGACATGTATATGCATATATGTGTATATATACATATGCATATATATAAAAATGCATTTTTATACATTTATATATACATGCAAGCACACTAACAGGTCACATCCAAATATTTTCACTAGTAAATTAATTTGCCGTGTTATCTACAAGGAAAATATAAAAAAGTGAATGGTTTTCATCTTCACAAACAAAACACATTGACAAACAGGCATGGATTTCTTCCAGCACTCTTTAAAAGTCTCCATCCTTCTATAAGAGGTTGTTTTCCTAGTCTTAAATTCAAGGAACAATTTCCATTAACTCCAAGGACCATCCAGTGAAGCAGCATCTACAAGCATTTTTTTTCCTTCGTAAATGAAAGTGGTTTTTGAAACAAAGCAAAAAAAAAAAAAAATCTTACTTTTTTGCTGGGGCTGTTTTTTGTAAATTCCACATTTTTAATGTATGGTCCTCTGAAGCTGTTATTAAGACTGGTTCAACCGGATGAAAAGCGAGACCTCTTATTCCATCAAAGTGACTTCTTAATGTGAATTTGGGGTTCCAAGTCTTTCTCAATGCATCCTTATTGTTTGCTATCTAATAAAAAATAAAAAAAAATGCCAAACTTGTAATTAATCCGGAAGGCACAAGGAAAGGAAGAAATCAGAAATTCAGTTTGGCATTTTCAGAAGTGTCAAATTACCTCACCCGCTTTTCATAAGAACCTGCTTTTAAGCAATAGTCCATTTAACACTGATCAGACAATTCAAAATGAGAACAAACGTAGATATATTCCACAAAGGCAACAAGTAATGTCGCATCCACAGTAATACATTCTGTGCAAATCTGAAATACTCCATGTCTGTTAAGTTACACAATTTAAAAGCTGAAAAGTACCTTTCTGACTGATACTGCTGTGAACTCAGTTTGGTATTTAAAAGTTGATCTATACCTACTGGCTCATGCATTAACACTGGGCCTGACTCAACCAAGCTGTCATCCCTGAATATCCAAAGTACTACTGACATGGCATCTCTGAAGTAAAGATCTAAGAGAAACAGAGAAGTTTCTAGTAGCACAGAAAGGAACACAATCTAACTTACTCACCTAAGGCAACACAAGCTCTGTAATAATACAAGACAAGTAAAGCTTGCCAGAAAAAAAAAAAAGGGGTAAAAAGGACTTGGCTACACACTAAGAATGTAACTGGCAAGCAATAAACTATCATATATACAGACACAATTATTTGGCAATAAATGCATTTTTAGTGGATCCAAAAAGAAAGCCTTTGAAAAAATAACAGTTACTTCAACATTGCTCCTCTGAACAAATGTTGATGTAAAATGTTGAACAGACTTTTATCACTCTGTCGGTCAACACTGCCGTAGTTAAATTTACCTTCCCATAACCACTGCTGATGGTGGTTACGGAAAACCAGGAAAACAAACAATTGTAACTCAAATATTGATGACTTCTTTATGTTGAAAGCTACAAATAATCCCAAATAATTTAGTCTCATTAACTGCAAAGAAGAGACACCTGTTTTGAGCCACTTCAAGAATCCACATTTTATTCTGGAACGGTGTGGGGGGGAAGGTTTAAGAACAAAAGTGCTTTTTCTCAAGTTTTGTTACTTCTGAATTTAGTAATAGAAATATGCTTCAATTAAGAGGTTCTATAGATTTTAAACAATGAGAAAGGAGTCGTAACAAACAGCAGGTTTTGCCTCATCATATTTCTTAGTAATTATGTACTGTCTGCTCAGGGAGACAGCTCAGCTTCTTTGCCAGTTTACTGAGCTGAGTTGGCTCAACAAGGGAACAGACAAATGCTGGAGCTAGTGCAAGGATGGGGCAGGACTGCAAAATTAGCAGCTCTGGCAGATTTTCTGGAGATTGGCCAAGAAAGTCTCAGCAAAAAGGGTACAAGACTTACAGAGTATTCACAGAGATCTGGAGAGGAATTTGGCTGCCTCAACACAGGCATCTAATGCCGATTAGGTGACGGAGGGAACCCTGCCTGCCCTCCAGCTGCCATACCAGCAGCACAGGTCCTGTGTCACATCTGCAAAAGCCACACAGACACCTCAGACGGCCTAACAGTGCATGCCAGTTTAGCAGGATAATATTCTCCATTTGCTTCTCATTCATTCAAAGATGTTCTTCCAAAGGAGTCCAAGATGCTTAGCTTATAAATTGGGAAGTAGATAGAGGGCAGGCCCAGTCAGTAGACCAGCGGCAGAGGTGGAAACAGATCCTAGCCCTGACACACCGCCTGCCCGCCTGCACCACCGTCACACCTCTTCACCCACCAGCCTCACAAGCTGCGAGAGGCTGGGTTACTAACATGGCAGCCAGCCTCCTTTTCCCTCTCCCCACTAAAATACAACAGTGAGGTAATCTGAGACTTGAAAAGCAGTTGGGGGGGTGAGTGGGGGTGGGGAGAAGGATGTTCAACCCCAAAATTAGCACCCGATCTGGATTTGCCAGTAATAGTAATATCTGTGTCTATACAGACAACCTGAAAACTCCAGAAACAGCAATGATACGCAAGTAGGATTATGGACACTTCCCTTGTGCAAAGTTGCAGTAAGTCAAGCAAGAGCCTACTGCAAAGTCGAAAACCTCCAAGTCAGTGCACAATATTAAATGTAACGATTTTGTAGTTCAGATACTCTTATGTACAGTACTCAGTCTGTTACAACTTTATGAAGCTTCTTAATCTACCCAGATTAGGGGGAAAAACCAGAACCAAAGTGAACATTTGTTAAGATAACTGCGTAAAGGAAGCAAAAAGAAAAGATAAACTTAAGAGGGTATTGACTAGCAATCTAGGACATTTCATCTTGTTAGATATTCTAAAAACTTAAAAAAGACAATTTTCCTTTTGTGGGTAATAAATTCATCATGTCCATTACCAAGTGAAAACCATTCTTTAATTTACAGACAGCCAAAGCAACATGTAAAAAACTTAAACCATGAAATGAGGTAGGCTAACGCTACCATGTTTTAGAAGAAAAGAATCTAGTAAAAGTGTCAGCCGGAAAAAAGGGACTGAAAATAGGAAAGTGTCTGCAACTCTTGAGAGCAAATACATTTAAAGACCAATTCACATGAAATCTTTCAACTTCATTCTCCATATGATTCAAAATTGACACTGAAAAAAACATACTAAGTTTCCACTAATCCTACCTGACTGACTATTTGGCAGCTGGAAGATGGTATGAAGTAGTCCAAAATAAAAACAGATTATATTATTTGTAAGCTAAACTTCCAGTGAAATTTGAAATGGAAAAACTAGCCTTTCATTTTGCTTCAATAAAGAGCACAGTGACAAGAGCAAGGAGCTTTGTAAACAATTATTTTTTTTTAAATTGTCAACACTAGAAAAGATAAGAGGTGAGGTAAGCATGACTATGAATTTCTGATCACAGGACTTCATAAAGGCATTTAACAAGTGAACAAACAGAAGTTAATATTTTCAACCACATAGAAAAGGATAGGGGTGGATAAAGAAACGCTAGATTCCATACATGAAAGCTGTTACTTCAGGATATGGAGACATGGGCAAACACTATAGTTTATATGGACACTTGAACAATGAAGTCAAGCAGTGAAAACATGAAGCTCTTGTACAGATGGTTTAGGTTTGTCATGTCCTCTGAATTTAAAAATTCAGCATTGAAGTTTTACGTGTAACTGTAAAAGAAATGAAATTTGTACACCATCTTACCCCTTTTTGGAGACAAAGTTAGGGAAGATTAGCAAAAAAATTAAGAGCTGAACCCAAATTAGGAGATAATGCTAAAATACTGAATTTTAGCAGAGATGTTCTATATCGTTGCAATCCTGATGATTCACAACACATCACATGCTCAGAAACTTGCTATAGTAGTAGAGCACATCTCTGCAGTGTCACTCAAAATGTGTGTAAACTTTTATTAACTATGTAATTTATTGCTTTACAAATACATACAAGGGTAGAACTTCAAAGTAAGGACCTGCAGGTTATTTCTGAAGTCTCAGATTTGATTTGTGATAGTAAAATCCCTGATAGTGATTACTTAAGAGTCAGATTTACCGAGGATATGATTCCTTCCCAACACACGATACTAAAAAAATCACCTCTGAAATCCCTTAGCCTTGACAGAGCTGGACACTGCAATAGCAAGATTAATCTGAAGCTGACAGATTACAAAGGAGCAGATGATTAAAGTAATACCTGAAGTATCTTTCTCCAAGAAATCAGAAATACAGACAAAAATTGCATCTGACTGCAAAGAAGCAATTTTAAGAAAGATTTTTCATAAAAAGTGAAAGAAAAAGAAGCCCACAGGCTACACACATAGCCACAGAAGTGCTGGCCACAAGAGTCTCCTAAGAAGTCCAAAAAATTAAATCCCATTTGAAATGAGGCTATTGCCCACTCCAGGTAAACTAAGACACAGCTCTCCCCCAGCCAAGTCTTTAACATCTCCCAGGAGAGGGATTCCACAGTTTCTCTGGGTAACTTCCTTCAGTATCACCTCCTATGTAACACTTTTTCCCCTAAGGTGCAAGGGGGACCTCCCAAGCCATAATTTGCTACTGTTTCCTCTTGTTTTAACACCTGGCACTATGGAGAAGCTTGGCTCTGTCATCCTTGTAAGCATCCTTCCAATACCCGTAGCCTGTTATTCAAGCACCCCTTAGCCTCCTAACAACTGAACAAGACTAGTTCCCTCAACATCTCCTCATCAGTCACATGCTACTGGACACTCTCCAATTTCTCCACAACCCTCCTGAAGTGGAGGAGCCCAAAACCGCATACAAGTATGGCCTCACCAGCCCTATGTAGAGGGGACATTAACTTCCCTCAATCTGCTGACCATGCTAGTCCTAATTTTGCTCAGCATTACTGGGGTTACAAGTATCCAGCTGTATCACTATCACTAATTACATTTACTTTCAACTTTCAACTATTTGAATGACACCGCAGGCAAATGAGAGGAGAGGGACTTGGAGAGAGCTTCAAGGCTGCTGTGTATGGGAAGAACAGATATGTCAAGTAAAAATTTGTGACATCCTTTGGCAGCATAATTTTAGCAGGAAAATGTTTTCTGCTGAGTCTAAACACATGTAACTTGCACCTGCCTTCAGCAAGTAGACAGTAGGACCTTGAGTTACCATTAATAACCACTTACATCGTAAGTCAGTGAATCTGCCTCATTGGCTACTGTAAGGCCTGCCAGTTCTCCAAGACCCAGCTCATTTTCAAGGGCTTCATCCGTTCCCATAATGAAAGATTTCCCTGAAGAAGGAGGGAATGTTAAAGCTTCCACTGCAAGAAAACAAAAACAAAAAAAATCCTGAAACATGGCTTTATACAAAATTGATTAATAACAGCATGTTTTTTACTTCCAAAATACTAAACATCTCTCAAGTAGCTGAGGGCAAAAAGATACAAAAGGATGCATAAGAAAATAGCCATTCTAAAGACAATCACCGTACTTAACAATAAATGGTATCCTCTGAACATAATACTTACACTTGAGGTGTGCATGACTCAAGACAGCAAGTGTAATTAGTCACAGGTGGAAAGAGTACACTATCATTCACCCGTATATAATGCAAAAGTAACACAGAAAAGCTCAGGCCCTTCCCCAACTCCACTGTAAAATATGCAGATAGGCTCTGGAGAAGTAGCAAAAATATAGACAAGAGTAGCTGGTGGGAGCAGCTGGAGTCTTCCTTCCTGACACTATCCACACACACCCAAAAGCATGTCTACAATGAAGCTGTTTACATGCACTCCAATCTAGCAATACGACTGGAAGCTGAGAATTTATCACTACTCATAAAATCAGTTTAACTACCAAACAGGCTAGTCAGCACTGAATTCCAGGTTTTTACTAGCAGTATCCAAACTTACTAGTTTACAGCTGCTATAGCATGCCCATAGGAGCTCCAGTCACTGCAACATAAACACATCCATAGGCAGATTGACTAGAAATGAGAGGATCAAAGGCTAAGAGGAATACAGTTTACACACACCACATAAGGCTTTGCAGCAAGTGGTATGACTCAAAAGAAGTTTCTTCCTGTACAATAGCTCTCCAAGTCCATACATCACAAAATATCTATACATCTATGCATCACTGAATAGATGAAAATGTGTTATCTTCTGGACACAAGAGACTTCACTCAATTTTATACACCTTTTGTCTCAAATTACAAGGGTTTTTCAATAAATTACAATTTTTTCCCCTTTTAGCTCCATTGTAAATACAAGCCTTGGCAAATACTGTTGCTACCAGGGTGAGAGAAAATGAAACGCCATCTCATTCTCAGCATCTTATTTAGTCTAACAGCACCAACACTAAGTTAAAACCAAGCAAACTATGGTTTACAACGAATAGCCTGATCTGTTCATCAGGCTGCTTCCCTCTTGTCCCAAAGGCATCAGGTTCAGATGCTGTTTAATTCCCCTCCAGTCCATTCAGCATAAAGTAAGCTAATCTTTCCGTGGTCTTTCCCTTCCACACTCATACCTCTATTGAGTGTCCTGTTTGCTTTCCATTAACTTTTTACAACCAAATAAAAGCCCTTCAAGCTCTGCCATTTGATTAGGTCTCTTAGTTATTACCTTTTAATCACAAATGTCTCTTACCTTCTTCACCCTGAAGTCTAAACTACCATTCTCTTTTTCTCTCTTTTGAACTTAGGATGTAATATTCCACTCAACATGCAATACATACAGGACATCAAATTTGAAAAGTTACTAGAATAAAAAAATTGTATGCCAAAAATATCATAGAGTCTCAGATTTATAAAGGAATACACAGCTAATAGTTTGTAATACTGAACTCAAGACTGATAACAATTAGCTGTCCTCTTCTGTTTTTGTGAGAGTTCACCCGAGTCTCTCAATTAAAAAACACATTCTGGAAAGGACATGAAGATAGAGCTCTGCTAATATGGGTCTCAGTACATGTGAGAAAAGTTGGAAAGGAAACACTCAGCAAAAAATTCCTCCACTTCTCAAAGTGTTGCTAAGTTACTCCCTTCTTCATAAAGAGAAATCACTGAACATGTAGGAAATAGAACTACTGAGATCTTTGGTAACTATGCCACACGCCAGGGCTTTTTATGCATCTTAATTACAACTTGGCCGACCTACTTTTTCACACTCACTGGAAGACTGCTAAGTGAAACCTGTGTTTTGATCATTTTTCAAAAGACATATTACCATTTCAATAAAGAGCACATGATATGATCTTCTACAGATTAATATAGCCTCACATATTTATTTCATTATGCTGCATATTACAGCAATTCAAATATTGAATCAAATAGGTAGTTTAGCAGCTTTCAGACATAACACTAACGAAGGCAAGCACATGCCTCATTGCAAAGATACGTGGCTTTCCATACTTGGACTAGATGCTGTAAGAATTTTTTTTAATTTTTGGAACACATTATGGAAATTAATACACTGGCAAGCTGTAAGTTGTTCTGTATGATTCACTACATGCATTTAAAAGCTATGCCTAGCCACCTGCGTTTACCTGCAGAGCCTCTATCTTTGCACTTAAAAAAAAGAACACATACACATGTGTGTATATATGTGTATATATATATACATACATTTAAAATTATGTTCACGGGGAGAAAAACAGATGCTCTTATGTCCTGCGAGTTTATGTTCCACACTTGACTGCCAGGCCTGAGCACAAACAAAAGCAAGTGACTTAAGATCCTCATATTACAAAGCCAACAAGTGCCACATGAGCTTTTTCCATCATGTTCAAAGGTATTCAGCCAAGACTTTACCTAGGTAGGTGCCTTGACCTTACTAATAGTGACCGGAGGGGAGGAATGGGAATGCCATTTATCACACTTAGACAGAACTCATAATGTTGAATCAGTATATGTAAAGCGCTTGGAAAGTCTTAAAGGATAATCTTTAAGCAGAAGTAACTATAAACATGTACCCTATACAAAGGTGTATGCCCATTTTTAATACTTACCTTCATCCGTCCTGTTTATCTCGTGTTCAATGAGCCTTGAGCTACTGGGCCTAGAAGAAGGTGCAACAGATGGCTGTAATGAAGGGAGATCATCAACATCTCTCAAATTTGCAAGCATATCTTGCAGCTTTGACCTGTTGGGCCCTAACCAGAAAAAACAAAAAATTAAATGGTTTATGCATAGTTCATGACAGCACTACTTATATCAGATAGCTACAGCAGCACATGCAACAATGGATCCTACCTTGCATTATAACGTTACCACAGAAAAACTAATGAGCGCCTATTTTCAGCAGTAACTAATCATCCAGCATGAAATGAATTTCTTGAAAAGAAAGTGATAGAAGCAACTGAGAATTGTGAATGCACATTTTTCCCCACATTTATAAACTCATACTGCTACTTGCATGGGATGCTGAAGACTGCCTCCAACTGAGTCACACTGATTATTAGAATATTTACTTTTCCAAAACAGTAGCTGACATTTGTGAATATTTTAAAATTTGTGCATCAGGTATTTTGTGCAGCATATTCTTATGACAACATGATTATTTTAAATTTATTTGTGCAGTAGTGTAGTATCGTGAACTATATAATCCAAAAAGTTATATTAAGGTATAAATGCAACTGGATTCACTGGCCTACTTCCTGAAGCTATATATGGTGAAGACCCATGCCCTTCTTGACACTTACCTGTGCTTTGCTCCATCATTTTCCCACATCCCTGTTTTGACTGTTTTATATAGGATTGAGGCTGAAACATATCTTCGGTAGTTTTTCCTGTTGTAAGTTTAATTAAGAATGGGAAAATGTCTTACCCATAGTCCATTATGGTTTTTTCCTAGACCAGTAAATAATACAGCTATTTTTAAGCAGCTTTAATACAGAAGTGTACTCTAATATATGTATTCTCTCATAAAACCATTCTATGATTCTATTCTCTTATTACTTCACAGGAGTGTGTACTACAGCCTTGCAAAATCATAACTTTACTAATGCAGTTGCAAACTCTACTTTGTCCACCCTAACCATAATGACAGATAATAAATTGTATTTAACTTGTCTGTCACAAAAATATTACTTGATTCAGGAAAACAGTAAGTAGGATTTTGCAAGATTGTTTTACTATAGTATCGGATTTATAAAAACAATATTTTACTTAGTAGCAGTTCAGTGTCTAAGCACCATTTATGATGAAATTAAAGTCATAGAAACAAACTTTGTACAATTTAATGTCAAGATATTTAGTCCCTTCTTTTTCCTCGGGCTTCCTTCCTCACATTCTTCTTCACTACGTGCAATATCATGAATAGCTGAAAACACTCTGTGATTCGTCCTGATTTGTCTGCATTGATGCCCTTCCAACGATGGTTTGTCCATGGAAAGATGCTTAATTTCTGTACTGCAGTAAACCATTTGGTCTCCCAAGATCAAACCAATCAAATCAATCAAAAATTTACTGTAAATGTACTGAGCAGTAGGTATAATCTACTGAGCAGTAATTATCTTCATGAAGGAGCACCGGATGTCCAAGTGCTGCCTTACATCAGGAATTTTTCTCATAAATATCTAAAACACATTCCAATAATAGCTATGTTTATATTAACAATTAAATATTAAGTTTTATTATAAAAAATAAAAAGCATTCAACAGCTGTTCAAGAATATAATTTCAACAGCTTGATTAAATAATTTCTGCTAAGTTAACCTTACAACTATCTACCCTGAACTACATAGCATGTCTGTCTATTTTAAAAATAACAGACAAATTACAAAAATCAATTTCACTGAAGTCATATATTGGTATGCCCTCTCTATCTTAACTATAAAGAAATTTATAATTAATTTTGTGAAACATGAACACTTTAGTTGGCCAGCTCAGCTTCTTGTCAGACTTGCAGTTAATTTACAGTAACTTAAATGATTCCAAAGATGACAAAAATATCACTTGAGAAATTTAAAGTATGGTAATGATTTACTTTTTTTCATAAAAAAAGAAAAAAAAGGAGCTTTAGTTTGTGTATTTGATAGCATAATTTCAGCAACATAACCAACTGCTGAGCAGCAGCTTATCATAGTATCAATACAAAAAGTAACAAAACAAGTCAGCCTCAATGATGCAAGGATCTGACACCTTCTGCACAGTTACGTGTGTCTCTTTGGAAGTAAGAATTTCCTTGGTACTCATAAGCATCTTCCCACAAAGGGAGAAACATCCCTCAAATTTCTTACTGGGCTACATGCAATATTGTTAATTTACATAATTCACACATGAATTCTCAATACGGCTAGATGTTTGAAATATAGCTGCGAATACAGTGTTTCATTTTAAACACTTCATCTGAGTTCAAAAAGTTTTAAGGCTTACTTATCAAAAAACATTGATTTTACAAAACAGATTTGTATTTCAAGAAATGTAACAAAAAATATAATACAGGGCTAGAAACTGTATTTCAGATACTGATCACAGTTTTCGCTTGGGTAACAATACCCAACATTTTTAAAAGCTAGTCCCATAGGTATGAAAGTCAAATAAATCCTGTGATTTACAAATAAACTGATGGTCAGAGTTGCTTCCTATTTCGAGCCCTGCATAACAAATTATGATGACAGCATGACTTTCATGTTGTGAATGTTAAGTATAAACAGGGGTAGAAATTAACCTGTTTTCTCCCTCTGTCATCTAATAGGATACTCAAGACAGTTTCTGTTTTGTTTTTTTTATTTACAAACCAGACTTTAACTCTTCCTGTGAAACTGGCATGTTTCCAGCTAAGAAAGGGTTCTGAAATCTTCTATATTAAAGTGTGAACTATTAAACCAATGCCTTTTACAATTTAAGTTTCTGAACAACAAAAGCATAATCCATGCTCAAAGCAAGAATTTTTAATTAATCCAACACCTGGTTGGAAGAAGTTATATCTAATCCAACTATTTATCAGGTAACTTGATTGACCGTCATTAATTTCAACCCCTGAGAACTGGTGAACAGGAAAGCAGTCAGGAGCAGCAAAGTAAAAGAGTAAGTAATTTTAGGAAAACATTGAAAGAGAGATAGAATTAAGGGTGTGAAAGATGTGGGATTTATGATTTTAAGGTGCAATGTTTTCCACTTACTCTTAACCCCCTTTTTCCCCTTGCGCTCCTTTTTGTATTGTTCCTTGAGTTTGGTTATTACTCCCTGGTCGACATTCCAAGCTTCAGGCATGAGACACTGGTCTTCCTTTTCTAAACAAAGTGAAACAAATGAAACATCCTTTTTCAATAATGTCACCAAGTGATCTCCACTGAAGGAGGTAACAGCTGCTGTCAATGGCATTTGTCTTTTATTTTAAACAGACAGAAATAGCACCAAGCTTGTGAAAGCTGTAAAACTGCTACTCACATTCCACTTCTATTTGCTCAGAATTTTCTTAACAAAAAATTGAGATGAAATGTCACATGCCTAATTTCTACAACCAAGCACATAGCTGTTCATAAATGTAAGCAACATTTACTTTATAATAAATCAGGACATATTTTTCAGCTTTTTGTTTCCTCCAGGGAAAGAATTATATCTAGAAGCAGCAGCTATGTTACTGGTCAACATAACTTTACAACTCAGATGTTGCATCACTGCATTTCAAATTCTCATTTCATTGTCTTCGTGTTATGTTGTCATTTACACAGAGCAGCAGCACATTTAAGTCATTTTGGAACATAGTATACATATCACCAAGGTTTGAATAAAGTCTTAAAGTGCTAAAGCCATGAAATTTCACAAAAAGGGGAAGGCTTGAGTTATTAATCTTTGAAAAAAATACACAAAACATCTCAACATGCCTAATGAAAAAAAATCCCCACTTTTTTTTTTAAACATCTCTCTCAAATTGCTTCCCCTGTGACATGATACAGAGAAGAAGTATTCTTCCAATAGTACGGTATTTGGAGATTTTGAACAAAATGTGTTACGTGAGTTCAAATCTCCTAGTCATTTTTTCCATATATGGAAAGACTGTACTGAGGCAGCTTAGAAAAATAACCTGCAAGAAGAGGGAGCTAATACAGCTTTTCCTCATATATATATATATATTTTCATGACCATTACAACTACAAAATGTTTTTAAATGCATTATCTTTTTGCTTTGTTTTCCTCATTAAAATCTCAACCTTATTATTTAAAAATTAATTCCTTTCAGACCAACTTTGCTTTGTACATCAATAAACTATTCTGGACCTTTTAAAATACGAACAATAATAAATTTATCCTCAGACTAATAGGCAGAAAGGGTATTAAATGTCTGCAGAGGAACCACAACACTATCAGTCACAATCTGAAGGAGTCACTATGATTGGACAGAAGATACAAAACCAGACATGGGTTATTATGGGGACTGACTTGTTAGAAATTAACTATGCTGAAAGAGACCTAGGGATCCTCCATCAGCATCAAATTCAACGGGAGTCAGCAGCATACTCTTGCAGCAAAGGCAATCAACTGTATCCTGGGCTGTATTAACAAGAACGTAGCCAGCAGGGTGAGGGAAGTGATTATTCCCCTCTGTTTGGCACTTGTGAGACCACACCTTGAGTACTGCATCCAGTATAATATTTCTTATACTGGGAAACCTTGTAAGTGTAATGCTAAGTACCTAGTACCGACATAGCACAGCAAGTCCGGGGGAGCCACTAAGATGGTTAAGGCAGCTGGAGCAGATGAGCTACAAGGAGGGGCTGAGACTACTGTGAGTGTTCAGCGATGGCAAAAGAGGTATCTTAGTGCTGCCTACAACTACCTAATGGGCAGGTGCAGAGAAGACAGAGAGAGACTCTGCTGGGACTTGCATCACAGGACAAAATACTTTTTACCACGAGGACAGTCAAATACCAGAATACTGCCCCTGAGAGTTTATGGGAACTCCTTTCTTGGAAGATAAACAAAACTTGACCAGAAGAAGGCCAGAGTAACCTGCTGCAAACGGACCTGAGCAGGAGGGTGGACTAGATGATCTCTCACTCCTTTGAATCCTCTAGTCACAATCCTATACTCATTAATGACAGATTAATTCGAGACCCAAAGTCTTGAGGCATTAATCTTTTTGCTGCAGCTACGAAAATAGAGAGGTATTAATAAGCTGAAGATAGACTCTAAAAAAGATGGTCTGTGGGCTAAGCCATGTCCTCTTAATACATATACTCAATTAAGTACCACTAATGATCCAAAATTGCGTGAAAAACTCAAAAAAGGTATGAGAAAATCATGCTTGAGAGAAACAAGTATGTATTCTTTCTGGGACCAGGTTGTAAGTTTTAATAATGCTTTTCCTCCCTGGCTAGACAAGATTTTTTGCTCTCCTCCAACAAAAAGTTTAAATGGATTTATATTAGATTCTATTGTTGCCAGGAAAATACTTAATACATTAATTTTCTTTAGACTGTCCCAGGATGCTTCCTGCATGTCCCACAAGTTCTGTTCAACTTCACAAGTGGATCCTGAACTACTACTGTGCAAGTGCTCTATAGTTTAAAAGTTACCTGACCACTTCTGAGGACCTTTCAAGCCAAATGGGTTCAACAGATTAATGTAACCGATCAGTAATGCTTGGGATCCAAAATGAAGCAAGGACTTCCTCTGTTTGCTTCTATCCTCACTACACAACACCCTTCTATGCTACATTTAACAGTTTCACTTAAATCAAATTAACAGAAGTGATTCATAATGGCAGTTCCTTGAAGAAGCTTATATAGTTACCATAAAAGACACAGGTTGTGAAACAAGTAATTGAAAAACGTGAACATCTATAACTAGAAATGAAACTACTACTTTCCATGACAATTTATTTTTAGTGTTAGACTTTTGCTCATTTGTACTCAGCTGTCATCAATGAAAGTAAAAATAAACCAGAAGTGTGAATTTGAGAACAAAAAAGCTCCCGTCGGCATACAAACTTTTCGGTGACACAACCAATAGGTACCCCTATCAAGCATAAATGGATAAAATTTTAATATTAAAGAGAAGTATCAGAACAACCTAATAAAAATATTTTTCGTAAAAAAGAGTAACATTCCTAAATTTGTTTGGTGAACAGAATACTGACTGTTGTATCTAACAATATTGAGACACATCCTCTTAAGCAGAGAGACTACACCACACTGAACAATAATTTGGAGTCCAACCTGGAGTTGGACATGGCTTCAGTGACATACAGCATCTCAGAGCTGTTAGCTCACGTGACAGCCACAGCTACCATAGCTTATTTGTCTGTCAAGGTTTCAGTTCTATTTTATAAAGCTCAATTATTTCCCGTTCATCTTCCATAGCTCCCTGTGTCCACTTATGCTTAAGACTTTCCAGAGCAGCTTAATGAGGAAACAACTCCCCATCAAGATATTTAACCAGTTTTCTTCCTTCTTCCCTTCCCTATGCAGTGGGTTTATGCAGAATAATTATGTCAAGGTAAAGTGGATGCTGGCATTCTGGGTTGCAGGACATGAACCTCAAAGGGCAGATAACACTTTGTGAAATGTCTATCTATGACTGAGGGGCTTAAAGATATATTCTTCTGACAAATTATAAAAGAAAATTTGAGCAACTGAATAGTTCATATTGCCCAAATTGCTAACACACAGTAAGAGTACAACTAATTCAGTCTTTATGACTCACATTACTCTCTGTATCAAAGTGGGAGAAAGCAAAGAAGACGAAATAACTTTCACGTCATAATTGTAAAATACAGCTTTATCAGAGCCCTTCACCTAGCATGGGTCACTGGAAAAACACATTGAAATTCCACTCATAAAATTCAAACTCTATCTGCCTTATTATTAAAGAAAAGGAAAAAGGCAATGACCAGAAGCATAAACCTTGAAGAATCCTTACATTAAAGCAGTATACAGAAAAATTAGAATATTATGTCAAGAGGACTTCAGTCTGCCAATTATTCACTGTAGGAATACTCAAAAGGGGCTGTAATCATGACAGAAATTTCAGTCAATCACTCACTCGCAATATATTCTTAGCACATTTTTTTTTTCTCCTGGTACAATCCATTAAATTTCCTTACCCCAGTCTGTTCCATCTCCTGAACTTCTCGATTCCCCATCACCTTCATCTGAGGTAACCAAAAAGTCAAACTCTTTCAAAGCTTCTTCTGTATCTCTGTCTTCACTGCTGTCAGATAGCACTCTTTTCCTTACAATCTGAAAGGTCAGGAAGGAGAGAAAAAAGCTGAATTAAGTTACACACACATCTTTATACCGAGCAGTACTGTCTTGTCTTCTATGCAAAGTCCTAACAGAAAGTTGAAGAAGCAGAAAAGTATACGTTAATAAGCAAATTTGGAATAAGCATACAGACTTTGTTCAAATTTCTAAGTCAAAATGAAATTTGTCTGTAGATCTTTATTCCTGTGACCGCCAATAATCAATCACTTGATAATGAATCTATGCTGACCTGGACCACTACTATTTTTTTTAATATCAGAAAAGTACAAACTTTCTCTTAATACAGATTAAAAAAACCAAAACCCACAAACAAAAAACCCAAAATGCTGTAGAAACGACTTCAGCAAAACCAATCTCACTCTGCCTCTCTGAAAACAGCCTTTTTAACTCTCACCTCTGAAATCACTCTACATGTGGACCAAAAGAGAAGCCTAGGAAAAAAAAACCATAACTGACAAGAGCTAATCTGCTTAGATTTGGCAAAAATCATTCCATCCTGAATACTTCCTCAGATATTACTGTTATTCAAACATGGTAGTTCCATGTTTAAACTGCATTTCCCTTTCACATTCAAAAGCAAATTTGGTAAAAAAAAAAAAAAAATTTTACCAAATTTTGGTAAAAGAAAAAAAATACATGTTTTAATGAAGGACCTCATTGTATGCTTTCTGCAATAAATTTACTTTTCCCTCAATAATCAAAGTGGACTAGATGCTTTACAGTTCTTTGATTAACAGGTGAGCTGATGCCATGATACATGAAGTCTGTAGCATAAATTTTACTTCTACAGAAGAATTACATTAATCACAATATTTTGACTTGGAAACTTGCTAAGGGTCAGTCTGAAAAGACTTCAATACATAGGCCAACATCCCATAGTTCATGAGGATGAACGACTGTTTCCCCTAAATACAATGAACCAATTTCAAAACCTGACGCAATTCTAAACTTCAAGCTTCACTCCTTCAGCAGGCTTATTGAACATACTGTATTACAGATGATTTTACAGAAGAGTCTCAGACATTAGTTCACAGCCCATGGATGACAGGAACAAGTTTACAAAGTTCCTCTTTAAAAACTCCTTAAAACTGATGGTTTTTTAAGTGTTTGTTCTTAAAACTGATCATAGAAACAATCACATCCATCGTAACTCTTATCTGCTTCAACTGTTAGGAAACACAACTCATTGAATAAATATTAATTTTGAAAAGAAGAGGATAAAATTGAGTACTGATTGTATGTATCTATATTATGTGATCATATGACCAAATCATATAGCAAAGTATAGTTCATGAGGGAGTTTCAGGTATTTGACTGAATAAACAAACAAAAAAGTTTATTAACCACGCTAGCATTTTTCCAGTTATATTTTTTCTTCCTTCCACAAGCTATTTGAAGAGAAATGTGGTATTTCTGTTCTGTACCCTACAAAGATACATTTCTACAAGTCATTTTAAATACATTTATATAAATATTCAAGAAACAATGCATTTTTGACATGCAACTTTACAAACAATACCTTAAAACTAAGCTGAAAATTGTAAAAAAAAAAAAGGACATCTGCTACCTTAAAAATTGTATCCAAAATATATCAAAAATACTAGGCAGTATGGAATAGTAAAAAGACAATTTAAAAAATTTTAATCTGTCACTGCAAACTTAAAGCAATAAAGATGGCAAAGCTTAACTTGTATGCACAAACTCAGAAATGCATATATAGTTCCTCTTATGCACACATGCTTGGACAGACCATCATAAAGATGCATTAATGATTTGCACGTGTACATACACAGTCATATACTTTGCATATAGACATCTCATTAATCTCACTTTTTCTGTTCTTCGTAACTTTTTCAATTATTTTTTCCACTCACTGTTGCAGTATCAATGATTGTTTTCTCTCTTCCTTCAATATCTTCTTCATCTTCTTCATCACTAAAGTCTGCAGCTGCATTTTCAAGAAACTTGAAGGTCTCTAGCAGAGAGGCAGAGTCAGTCAATTCAGGTTTCCTAAACGACAACAACAACCACTATCATGAGTCAAAAGAAATCATAACAAAGTCACTTTTGCAATTACCAGTCTGTTCTGTATTATGATGTCCAACAACACATGAGACTAAAATAAGCCTACAGGTAAAAATGGACTATTACATGTAAAAATGTTTGTGGATTAAAAAACTAAACATTATCCATAAACTATCTTATTAGAACTAACAATTATTCTTCATCCAGCTGCAATTAACAGTGCAGACACTTCAATTTTTTATTTGAAAAGCATTTTAAAGAAATGTTCATCTGCTATGTGCCCAAAAGCAACATCAATACTGATACACCATCACTGAAAACCTCAGAAACAAGGACATGAGCTACAGCTACTGAGCTGGCCTCACACATGTATATCAGGGTAGAGGAAAACTTTGCTGCTGCTATCTGATGTTCCTCACCTTGTTGGGAAACATCAAACTCTAGATCTATCATTCATTAACTTTTGAGGCATGGTAAATTTGCCACTATAAAACAATATAATGGGAAAATATCATTGATGACTAAATAATGTTTACATGGATGTTAACATTAAACAAAATAAGGAAACGGATGAAGACTGGGTAAAATTACGACTGCACTGGCACAAATTCAGGCAGTGCCTCAGAACAGGAAGCATAAGGGTTGACATATTAACATATGAAGAGGAAGAATCCAGGAAGCAGGACTGTAACCGTTATCAAAACTTTGATCAAAGTACAACTAAAGCAATCCTAAAATTAACAACAGGTACCGTGTTTTCTGTGCAGAAGACACACTCCTCCATCAACTCCTCAAAGATAAAGCAGTGAAGAAAAACTTATTCAGTTTGAATTGTAATTATTACTTCCAGTAAAACCTTGTACATTCTTTATATGACTTTACAGCAGTAAAGACAAGCTTTATTGTTTTCTTACCTTTCATCAGTAGTCTGTTTTTCATAGTTCATCACTAAATGCACGTCATCTTGATTTTCACAACCACTGAAACAATAGAAATCTATCTCTCTCTTTCAGAATTGTAGCTCTAAATTGTCTTGTACAGTCACCCTTACTACCAGTAAGTGCCTTGCTAATGCTACATTTTGCTTCTGCTATGACCCACTTCAAAAGGTTGTCAACTAACAAGCCTATATAGCAAGGCCTTTTAAACTCCCTGCAGTGCAAACACCTGGTTAACCGTCCATCACCCACTTATTCCAATGTTTCTTCATAACACTTTTCAAAGGTTTATTACAGGAAACATCCAAGGGCAAAAGCTCTGATGTGTAGTAAGGCGTGATAAGCAGCACAATTCCTTCCTTACGCAGTGTCTGCTCAAGCAGTTCTATGCTTACATGACAACAATTAGCAGGAGTGGCTTCTTCATAGCCCCAATATGTCTGCATCTCATTAAGACAACTTGCTATTCTACCCTTTTTTCATTTACTCATCTTTACGGCCCAAAAATACCAATAAAGATTTCACTTGCCATTAGAAATTCCACATACACAGCACCATAATATACCATGATGTATACAGTATGTTTTCATGGTCACTGGTTTTACTGAGAATATTCCTCCCACATTCCCGCATCTTATCTTAGATAACAACGATCTCAAACATGCTTCCAATTTGCCTTACTTCCTGCAGTATTTTGACCCTCTTGTTTCTATGACAAACCTGAAAGCACTCTGTAATATTTTTCTTTTTCCTTAAGTAATCACTATTTTGGCAGAACTATAATGCCTCATGAATCTGTAGTAATAATGTGCGTTTTCACAGAAATCCTAGGGTACTGTTATTTTGCTGTTCCCAACACAGAAATCTTGATAAGACAAAACTTGTAATGTACTTCACTTGACTAACTTCTTGATTTGCAGCAAATTCTGTGTGTCCTGGTCAACTTTTAGTGGACTAAATCATCTGACCACAATTGTATTTCTGTTTTTTCCTCTGTATTTTGCTGTGTAAAAATCTGCTGTGTAAAAACATCATGGCTGCTGATCTGTATTAGCAACTATCAGACATGCTACAGTAAATAGCAACATATGAACTAATACCAAACATAGAATATAAAATTTTAATCAACAGAACTTGTTAATAAGAGACAGATATCCTGCTACAGGTACCAGTATTTGCAGTAATTCATACCTAGATTTGGTTCTGTACAAATTTGGTCTTAAATCAGGCACTCTCACACTGAAGTTCAAAGTGACCACCAAAGAGAAGGTTATATCTTTTTTAAGTAACTGGTCTGAATTCAACTATCATACTAATTATTGCATACTTCAGTGGGCAGGATATATACATAATTGTGTATCTTCATTTACACAGGGGGTAAAAGGCACCTCATGCATTGGAAAACCCAGTAGTTTATCATGTATTTCAAAACTCCTGCACAGTACAAAAATGTACAAAGTCAGCATAGTACCACAAAAGATTATTTGTGCTAAGGCACAACTTCCAAGAAAGAATTCATAAGAACCAAAAAAAGAAAACAGAAGTGACAGAATATTTAAAGTATTTAAAGGTTCTACAGGGAAAAGAAGCTTCAAGCTCACAGACGGGTTGATGGCTATATTGTACCTCAATACACTTCAGCAGTCAAATCAAAAGTAACTCAATAATTTAGCTATTTTTCCATCCTTTAGCAACACATGAAGATAATGCATTTTACATATTACTGTCAGCATGAACACCTAGGAATACTGTAAAATATACTTAAGAAAACGTCTAGCCTTAGCTAATTTACCTTAGGTACTTTGACAGCAATTTGAAGTTTGCTTGTTTCATTATTTTCTGTCTGTTTAGTTTGTTTCTCTATGGGGTCATTCACAAAGCAACATAAAAAAGCAGAAGTGGCAAGAATATATTCAGAGATAGGGTAGTATAATAAATTACTTTAAGTTCCATTTTAGAAAAAGAAACACAACTCAACATTTCCAGGGCTTTGGTAGTCTAGAATACTTTTTTAAAAATTAATGGGTGAAAACAATAGAATGGAAGTCCAAAGGCGGGTACTGGTAAATGAACTGTAGTATTACAGGCATGAGTGAGGCAAGACTATGGCAAGGTTCAGGACCTGTTACAAATAAAGGGAGACCAAAAAACCCAAAAAGGTCTCAAAAAGGACAATTCCTCTTTACTGGACTGTCCTGGATTAAAACGTATGTAAGGGAGAACGTAATTTCCGAAGTGCAAGAACTTAGGTGTTGCTTTTTCCTTCTTCCCTATCCATACTGTCTAAAGAAAAAACTGCTGGGGAAGAACAAGCCAGAAACCCCAGACAGCAGGAGCAGCTACAGAAGCTGCCAAAGCAGAAAGCACAGAGCAACCAGATTTTGGCAGGACTTCCTTGACCCTGTGCTCCTCAACTGCTTGTTCTGAATCTCCTTCCCACTGCTCCTTCCTCAATCGTACTCTGCAACAGCACCCTTGCACGGTTTTCTCCCCAGCACCCAACCTTGTCTTCTTTCCTTGAGGCTTTCATCCCAGTTGACTTACTACTTCCTAACCAAACCTTAAAAAAAAAAAAAAAAAAAAAAAAATCATTTAACCAATATAACATCTTCTATCAGATAGTGTTAAAACTGTGCATTACATTCTCCTCTCCAGTAGCCAGGAAAGTCTTTGGTGCAGAGAGACTACCTGCTACTCGTGTCTGCACATGATTAAGTACAACAGGACTAACTGCTTGTCACAAGCATAACAAGTACAATAAGTAGTGCCGTAAAGTATAGCTACACTAATGCTGCTGGGTTTTCTGTCTTAATACTAACGGAAGGGCAGTACGCAGATTTTGTGAATATTACTCTTGACACAGGGAATTTCTGATCCCCAAAGAGAAGACACTTTTTCCTGTTTAAAACACAAAATTCTTGTTACAAATGGGCTGGTAACTGAAGTACTTACCCTCCTTAAAGCAACATAAACCTGGAATCACATGAATATTTTTCACCTCAGGAGAAGTTGCCAGAATTTTCTGCAGCTGTGACTGCCCTGAAAATCTCATCCCAACTTGTATTTTACAGGCTGTTAAATTATTCAGATTTGTCTTAATCCCTTGGTCCCTTTAAGACTAAAAATAATAATAATGTCTTCCCATGAAATCTAAGAAATATGATTTGTGAATATTCCACATGTACTATTTAAAGAAAGCGTGGCTCTCACGGGGCCTCAGTGGGCCATACAGCCGACTCTTCATTTTCTGCCCTGCAGTCACATGGCTCAAGACAAGTATTTTCTGTAAAAATCCAGTTGGCCCTGTCATCGAAATATTAGCAGCTTTACAAAATGTATAGTGTTCAATTGGCTCTCAACATTTAATATTCAGGATCTTAACATAAATCCTGTTTCTTACTGAGTGAAAAGTAGAAACCATAATCTATAGCAAACGTGAAGTTGTTATATGGAAACTAAAACAGCACATTGATGATACCTTTCCTGCTCTCAACATGATCCAGAACATTTCATATTGCAAAGTCAAGTTTAACTTAGACTAAAGCCACAATACAGACATGTATTTTCTTTGTAACCAACACATTCAATATTTCTATCATTACCTTCTCCTTTGTTGATAATAAACCTTGGGAGTCTGCGGTCATGTCCAGGGAGACTCTCATAAACTTCTCCCATGAACTGCCCAACCACAAGGCCATTAACTGCCTTGGTCCTACTCACTCCCCCAAAAGGAAAAAGTAGAGGGGTTTTTTGTTTGTTTGTTTTATCCAAGACATACACAAGTTATCTTAAATAAAACCAGATTTTATTGATAAATTCAGAAGCAGGAAGAAATACCACAGTAAAGTTAAATAAACACAAGTTCAGCTTAGGCTGAGAGATGTTTCTGGGGGCCTGTACAGGAAAAAGCCTGTTGTGACCCAGCATTCGAAGAGCTATTCTAGCATACTCTTTCTTGAGCCATTTTCTTTGACTCAGTTTCCTCCTACTATGAAAACGTGCTACTGCAAGGTCATAAGTTTTATTAATTCCCCATGGAATTTAGTTGTTTCATGTTTTAACACAGTCTTTTCAATGTGGCTAGTTGAGTTCTTTCAAACTGGACACAGTAAATAAATACATGCAAATTAAAATGTATTCCTTTCTGTGAAGACAGTCTTTAAGAATAGTTTTTTAAATCTTCAATACTGTGCAAAATCTTTCATAATGCAGCACAGAAAATATCAAACTAATAATTTATGAAACTATGGAACACTTACAATCATCAAAATTTACACACAAGGAACACAGGGCAGGCTAGACAGTCTGTCACAACCTTTGAAACTTCTTATGAATTCACACCACACAATAAAAGGACCGGTGCAATACATACTACAACTGGTAAGCAACACTTACAAAATGGTTTGGATATAAATTGGAATCGTGAAGGAATGCCATTTTAAAAGGAAAGGCCACTTCTCTTGCCAAATCTAGTCAGATAACTATAATATGTCAAATAAACAAGCTTTTTAAAGAATAAAAATAAAAAATAAATTCAATGTTTGAAGAACCGAAGTAACTTTTATACGTTATTTCTCCATTCACCTCCCCTCTCTTCGCTTCTCTCTATCCCACTGCACAGCTTCTGTCTCTTTCTCCCCATTCCTTCTGTACCATGAATCTTATGTGACATTTCCAAGAAGCATCCCTCAAACCCTTAAGCCATAGATCTGTGCCAATGAAATGAAAAGAATGGTCCATTGGTACTACCTTCTTCACACAAAACCCCAAATTTACCTATTTTTTTTTTCTGCTTTAATGCATCTGTTGAAAGTGTCCAGGTCTGGCCTAAATCAGGTATCTTTGAAATGCCTGTTAGGTCACTGCAAGATGGAGGCAGGGACAAACAGGAAAAAGGTGGAAAAAAACACCAGTAAAGGGAATAAGGCAAATAGATTTTGGATTTTTTGCTTTTTGTAATTCAATATTTTAGTCTCGCACACTATTTTGGAAATCTTTTTCATGACAAATGTTACCTCAGGTTGTTAAAGTCAGAGATTTTTCCTAAATAAACCATTTTATAAGCTAGTCAACACACAACATTCATCAGCCAGTATGCAGCATTTTCATTACAAGGGTCAGTGTTAATAGGATTTAGAGATGCAAAAGAGTTATTCAAGGCCTTCTGGTATAGAAAGACGTTCATTCGCTGAAGTGTCAGTTGGAATGATTTGTTGTACATCAGAAAGATAGGGTCTTCAAAATGTTTAATTTTAATCTTTGAAAAGGTCTTTGGATTTGCTCTCAAATATTGAGGTTTGATGCCTTTTTGCTCATGTAAAGTATAGGCAGTGGAAGCCGTATGTGGTTCAATAGAAAAAAAAAGGGCAGTAGATCATTTGCAGAGAGAGACTGATATATCGTTCAGGATCATTTTTCTTTTAAAAGTTTCTATTGGCTATTTAAACATAGTTCTAATGATCAAACCCTTAGCAAGAACTCAGAAAATTTATCTATATTGGTTTTATATATACACATATCCATATATACATGTGTATATACATATATATGCTTGGTATACTTTCCAGTATGGTTCCTTTCCAGTTCTATTCCTTTATTGTATTTGCTTCCACTCGTATCAAATGGTAGTCAAATACACACCTTCAAGAAGGTAAACTAATTTGACTGTTTAGGTTTCAGTCAGTAAGATAAAGCTATTAAAAAATGAGGTAATAAGTGAACAGAAGATACTTAAATACTCTCAAGTTTTCAAGGCTACAAGTGACATTTGCAGGCAGCTTTCATTTCTGTTTCAGTTTGCTGGGGGGAAGCACCCATTCCTCTCACTGCAGGCGTTAAGAATTTCAACCATGATTATAAAGTTATTATTTTAGTATCTATTTTTGAGTCCAGTCATGCCAAGTGGTACTTATCTTTTGTAATGCAAGTGAGCTGATTGAAGAAACTGAAAACAGATTCCCTTTTAAATTCCATGAAATAAGCGGAAACAGGACTATATCTATCTCAGGTTATCATATTAACATTTCATTTACGGAATCAAAATCTTGCAGGGTGCATTCAAAATCCACATGATGTCTTGAGTGCTAAAGTTTTCAAGAGGATCTGTACATTAGCAAATAAATAGGCAATGTAAGAATACAAGTTTGGCCACAGATGTAGCAGCTAGTACACATAAAGACTGAGGCTACTTCACCTAATAGTAAGGTAAGAAACTGATTTGGCTTTAAAAGACTTTCAGATAATAGTAGTTTATTCATCACTGTACCAAAAGAAGAAAAAAAAAACAAAGAGGTGGAGGAAGTTCTCTAATGCAACTGCAACCTTCTAAGATATACAAAATTAAGCTGAGAGGTATGAGGGACCAGATGGCAATTTTCTAAACTATCTGGAGCCTAGCAGAATTCAAGTTATATATTGTATGCTGCAAATAAATATTATTTTCTTAAGTATTTGCACTACAGTAACTACTGTACACTTCTACATGCCAAAGTAAACAGCATCAACTTCACAATAATCACCCCAAACATTCTCAACAGCCTTTCCCATAAAAAGGCTTGACTCACTGTCGATATCACAGCACTGAGTGTGTGAACCCCAGCTGCTGAAGTAGGTATAACTGGTATAACAGACAACAAGATACAACCGGTGTAACAAACAAGTTCTGGTATAACAGACAACTCATAAAAATTTGTAAAAGATGTAGTGAGCTGAACAGAGGAAGAATATCCTCCCTACCCACCACAAAGTATACACTTCACACATCCCTGGGGTCAGAGGAAAAATGCCAGGGCTTACCCTTATGACAATCAAAGGCATTTAAAAAGAAAAAAAAAAGGGGGGGGGGGGGTAAAAAAACCCAACCAACCAAAAAACCCCACATGCAAATATTTTCAAAGAAAAAAAAAAAAAAAAAAAAAAAAAGGGGGGGGGGGTGTTGGCAGTCATCAGGACAGTCAGAGGTAGATCAGGAGGCTGAAGGAGGCTCCTGCTCCTGAAGCAGCAACAAGCACTATACACAGATTAATGAGTTTACAGAAAAATCATGCTAAAACCAGACTGTGTTGAGAAGTACATCAGCTCTTCCATTCTTTTACTGGAATTTCTCTCAGTGCCAATTTGTTTTGTTCTCCACCACTTTCATTTCACTGAGAAAGTATTGGTTGATTACCAATAAACGACAGTCAAAACATAAAGGAAGTTTTCTTTCTTGTTTCCATTACCCCCTCTCTCCTCCCAAAGAGGTAACCATACGGCAGCATAAAAGCATCAATTACCTTTTTTTTTTTTTTTTTACTTTCTTTGGAATTTATCACATGAGTGTTCAGTTGTACAGAAGGCAGTTTAGCCAATCTGTTCTTTCTGCAATTTACATTGCTATATAGAGAAATCTTTAAGGAAATTTAAAGCTAATGTGCCTTCCATTTTCCTGTTCCTGAAACGCATCATTGTATCCATTTTCCTTCTGTTTTTCACTGTGCCATTATCCCCTCTATCGTACATTATCTTCATCACATTCACCCACATTCTTTCCAAATTCCTATTCATTGTTTCTCACCCACAAGCTTTCTTTTTATTCAGTCCCCGTACTCCGCTTCTCACATTCTTCCTTCCATGTAAACATTTTTCTAAAAATCAGACTTAAAATCCACAGTCTCAGCTGGGTCCATAATATTATGCAGTTCTTCCAAGATGAAACAAATCAAATGTTCTATGAGCTGCGTTTTCTCACTTTAACAGAGGTATTCCTTGTTAGACTAGATTCATTTCCATGCATTACGTTTTGTCCAGCACTCTGCTCTTCAAATGTAACTAAAACATCTTCAGGTTGACCACTAGCCTCAGACTTGCTAGCAGATATTTGACATCAATGTTCATTAAATATTTTGAACCACAATATTTGCCAAACTGCATTGGCTTGAGCAGTTCACAGGCTTCTGTGGTGATAGCAAAGCTTTCTCCTACAAAAAGTTTCACTGTATCCATACAGCCAC